AGTGTACCATTAATCTCTATACTTTTCATAAAGTGCGTGCATTCCCCACCCGAACTTTCAAAAGTGCACCATTAGTCTTATTATTTTTTTCTTTTTATTAATGATTGGTTAAAGACGTTAAACCAACAGAACTTCTAAGGGTTTCAACCATGCACCATTTTAAAAAATATAGAACTAATGGTTCACTTTTAAAAGTTTGGGGGGAAAGCACACATTTTATGAAACGTATAAGGACTAATGGTGTAGTTTTGAAAGTTTTGGGAAAAAAACATGCACTTTTTAAAGAGTTTGGGGGTAAAGCACGCACTTTATTATAAGTGAAAGGAGTAATGGTGCATTTTAAAAAGTTCGAGAGGAAAATATGCACTTCATGAAGAGTTCGGGAGTAAATGTTACAAAAATACTCTTTTTATGAATTATAAGGTCCTTCTGTAATTATGTTGTATGCTCTTATCATGTTTCACTTCTCTGAATATAGGGACATTCTGGAGTAGTGAACTACTTATGTTGGGATCTAAACGGCGAACTGTTGGCGACAGTGAGTGAGGAGAGTGTCAAAGTTTGGTCATTGGGCACCGGTGACGCTATTCACGAATTCACTGCGAATGGAAACCAATTCCATTCTTGTGTTTTTCATCCAAGTTATTCTGCTCTCTTGGTCATTGGAGGAAAGGGGGTAAACACACCTAAAATTTCCCTCTATTGTTTCACTTATTTTTTTCTTTAGCCCCCCAAATTAATGAGATATACTTTACAGTCCCTGGAGTTGTGGAACATGGTCGAGAACAAGAGCATGACGGTCCCAGCCCATGAGAACATAATTGCAGCGCTGGCCCAATCTCCTCTCACCGGAATGGTTGCTTCGGCTAGCCATGACAGCTCCGTCAAGTTATGGAAATAAGAACCCACACATTTTCAACATATATACCCAGTTGTTGATGATGTGATGATCTTTAGGTTTCTTGGAGTATTTACATTAGCTGCTTATAGTTACATAGGCCTGAAGTTTTTTATTAAAAAAAAAAAAAGATTAACTGAGAGCTGAGTGAGATATTTCCTGGGTGGGGGAAGGGGTAGAGGGATATGGCCTCTAATTTATGAAGTTGTAATAGTATCATTGAAACAAAAACTACATTAACACCAAGGTTGACACTATCAGGCTATTTACCTTAGTGTCATTCTTGGTGTTATTGTAGCATGGTCCTTGTTGAAAACCGCTGAACCAGACGATGTCCTTTGGTGTAAGACTTTGTGTGTAGCTCCGATTCATACATTGTGTACTTGGGGTAATTCATACAATTTATTGTGGCATGTTGTATTTAGCTGAGTGGTTTGTGCATTTGGGGTGATTCATACTCCACACAACTCATTGTGGCATTTGGTATTTGGTTGAGAGTTGATTTCCCAAAACATGCATTTTAGGACTGTGGTTGATCCCTGTTGTGATTTGTAAAAATTTAAATTGTGTATATAAATACCAGATAGTTTTGCAAAAATCCCTAGTTGGAGATGGAGAAGGAAGACCTTTTTTTATCAAACAATAAATCCACCACAGAAAAATTTAAAGCTTTCATGGCTATGACGAGGAAGATGAAGATCGCCAAGCGTAGAGTTTCTGAGTTCGTGAGTAGATTCTTTGGGATTGGATGGGAGAGGGAAAAGAATGAGAATCACTTGCCTTACATTTCGTGAAAATCAAATTTAAAAGTATCATCTAAATTTATGTACATACATTACTTTTAGCAATTATTTGGACAACACATCAATTAGTACTCTAAATGATGTTCATGTAAACTAAGGCGCATAATATCTACATTTTTACTTGTTTGTGATAGAACTTGTGAGGAATATTCATTTTGTTGTAGAGAACGTCTGTTTTAATTTTACATAATGTTCATTTTTTCATATGCTAGACATACAATTCTTTAGATACATCTAAAAATAAATAAGTTAGAATTTTTAATTAGAGATATAGTGAGTATATGTTATCCAATTTTTTTATTTTACTTATTTTACTTTTACTTTTAATGAAAAAGTGTATTTTATTTCATTTTTGTAACATTTTCTTAAAAAAATATTTTTTTGAAAATTAAATAAATGAAAAAATTTAAGTTGAGAAAGAGGGCGTATATTTTATTTTATTTATTTGTATAAAAAAAAATGTAAAGAAAAGAGTGAAATTTGAAAATAGAGAAAAACCAAGGGCAGAAATGACATTTCATATGTAAAATAGGAAAGAGGGGGTGTGTGTGCACCATTTAAAACCACAGGGGTTTTACAAATAACTTTTGAAAGTAAAGGGGGTTTTGGCGTTACATTTGTAAATCACGGGGGGCATCCATGCTATTATCCCTGCAAAATAAATTGAAATTTAAAAATAAATTAATTTATTTTATTTAAGAATTGGTATAGAAATTTTTTTTAAAATATTTTAAAAACTACGTCAAAGATTCTTAAAAATTTAAAAGTGATAAGAATATTTTATTTTATCAAATAATTGATAAAAATATACAAAAAAACAAATATTCATGTGAGTTTTAAATTGTAAACTGTGTCATTCTTTTTAGGACGAATGAAATATATTACTCCCTCCGTCCCATTTTATAACGCCTGTTTCGGTTTACGATGTTTGACTAAAGTTATTTTCAAATCATTTTATATGACAAATGGTATAGAGTTAAAAAATAAAAATTACATATCAAAATTCTACATCAAAAGATCTACAAAACTAGTAGTGACAACAATATTTTATTTTATCAAATTGCTAACGAAAATAGAGAAAGAAAGTGAATGAAGTTTGACCCTGTGAATAGTGAACAGGCATTATAATTTGGGACGGAGGGAGTAAAAAGTTACAGAGTATGTTCTAGCTAGAATAAATACTTCCAATATCTCAAGTTTTAGGATAGTGACAGCCACACCCACTAAAACATTAAACTCACCACGCCAATTAAATACACCCCATTATGTATATTTATGTTATTATTACAAAATATATAGATTTTATTAGTTTAAAAAACCATATAAATATATTTTTAGTTTTATCCACCTTTGTTTTATGTTGTTACTTCTCAAAAAAGATTATATGAGTTTTCATATTCTTAAATTTGATAACCAATAGTTTTGCATAAACTTTTCATTTATAATAATTATACCAATATGTATTTCCCCATTCTAAATTTTATAATCTACACAATTTTTTTTTGTTATTTTAAAAAGAAGATTATGTAAGTTTTATTATATTTTTTAAATAAAATAAAAAGCTTTAATAAAATTTAAAACTACACACCATTTATACTTTTTATTACTTTTCAAAAACAAAGTTTTATTTAAAATTTAATAAATGTGGATCATTATTAACACTATGACTTTTGTTTTAAAAAAATATCAAATCTTATTATTAAAAAAGATTTAGATAATGGATACTAATATTTATCAGAAAACTAAAATTTTAAATTATATTATTATTCAGAATATTATTTTATCAATATGTTATAGAGTAAAAAATTTAGAATAGATAAGAATCTATGTGAAGCACGAGATTAAAAAAAGTTTAGAAAATAGTGGGGTGGATTTAGTGTTTTAGCGGGGTGTGACTATCATTAGCCCAAATTTTATTACAATTTAACTTTTTTGGTTAAATATTTTAATTTTTGGTTATAAATTATAGAAAAATATTTTTTTCTTACTAATTTGTATACATAAAATTAATTTAAAAAAGATAATATCACATTATTTAAAAGAGAACAAATACTTAGGGATTAAGTTATGAATGCAAAAAAAAGAGAAAAAGAAAAAAAAATGGGTGTCATTGCCTCGCACATGGCTTGCAATGCGTGTCACATTTCATTTGCCATGGCGAGGGCGGGGCATGGGAGGATGATGTGGCAGGGCAAGGCATGAGAAAGTCTCGCCGCTGCTTGTGCTCTAAGTGTTTTAACCTGACACATACAAAAAATGAGATAAATAATGACATCACATTTGAGAAGATTGAGGTGGGGCTTGGGGAGAGATACATAAGTGTTTTCATATACTTTTTTACTCCCTCCATCCCGAAATGATTTACATATTCAACTAATCAAAAATCACAGAAACTTTTGTTTATTTATGTGTTTTCATTAAATTTTTGATGAAATAAAATATTCTTGTCACCTCTTATTTTGTAAAACTTTTGATGTGCTATTTAAATATATATATATATATATATATATATTATTTTTTATTTATATACCAATCTTTAAATAAAATGAATAGAAAAAACTTAAAATTCAACTTCGTTTTGTGTAATAGGTAAATGATTTAGGGATGAAGAAAGTATTATATAAACTTTATTTTGTAAATTTACATTTAAAATCAATTAATTTGAATTAAAAATATATTCGGTCAAACCTCGTAGGTGAATTATCTATAGAAGGGGAAGAGTACATGCACAATGAAATTGGACGAGGGTACATGCAAAATGGAATTGGATGAGAGAAGTAGAGTAAAAGCAAAGATAAGGACTGTAAAAAAAATGTAAAACCTGATTTATATATTTCACTAGCTTCAAAAAGAATGTCACAGTTAAATATTACCTCCGTTTCAGAGTATTTGTCCACTTTCATTTTCACACACCATCCAATGCACTTTTTTAATCCATTTTATCTTGTAATTTGTATATTAAAAAATTATAGAAATTATATATTAATAATCTATATGTTAAGAAAAATCAAACAAGATCACACATAACTATATTTAGGCTTACACATTGATAGAATTTGATGAGTCAAAGTGCTTAGATGAACAGTTCCAAAAGTCAAAACTGGACAAATACTCCGGGACGGAGGAAGTATCTAAAATTTATAAAATTTTTTGTTGATTTATACATTTTTATTGATTATTTGATAAATAAAATATTTTTGTGATATTTATTTTGTACAATTTTTACATAGTTTTTTTAAATATGTAAATTTTATTTTTTATTTCTAAATTAATCTTATTAATAAAACGAATTTAAAAAAGTTTAAAATTTAATCTTATTTTTATTAATAAAACGAATTTAAAAAAATTTAAAATTTAATCTTATTTTTGTGTAATGCCACAAACATTTTAGAACAAATAAAAGAGTCATAAAGGTTCCCTACATGCTAACCCTAGTGTTCTGCCTTTCCTCGCCTCCAAAAATTAAAAGCACCCTTCCACCCACCTCTGCTTTCCCTCCTTATAATCCGCTGACCCCCACAACCTCTCTCTCTCTCTCTCTCTCCTTCTTTCCCCAAATTCGCTTGAGCGCTTCCGTCCAATTTCAAATTCACTCTACCGTTCCCCTGAGACCAGAGCAAGCGATGGGAAAGTACATGAAAAAGGCCAAAATCGCTGCGGACGTTGCGGTTATGGAGCTCCCCCAGTCCCTTCTCGGCGTCCGCACCCGAGCCAAAACCCTAGCTCTCCAGCGCCTCCAATCCTCGCAGCCTTCGCCCGACTCTGAGTCGTGTTACCTCCAGCTGCGCTCCCGGAGGCTGCAGAAGCACCCGACTCTGCTCGAAGAGCGCAGGAAGTCTTCCGGTGGAGCCGCGAAGCGGAACTGCCGGAAAGGGACAGATTCGGTGACTTGCCGGAAATTGAATCTCGAGTCCAGCTCGAGGTTTAGGGTTAGTTCTGTCCACTCCAGCTCCGTCGGCTCCGCCTCAATTAGCAATCACGATGCCGGGGAAGGCTGTTTTGATATTCTCGGCAAAGGCTGTGAAGATTTGGGCGTCTATGCAAGAGACAGGCAAGACCCAGTTCTATTATTTTCCTCTGTTTAGTTTCTACGAGTATTAATTTGTGCATTTCTGCTCTTAAATTAACTTCTAATTTCCTTATCCTTTTGGGTGCTAACTCATCTGTTAAATAAACTTAAAAAAGGTCTGATTGTGGAAAGTAAATATGGTAATTGGCACAGAGTAGTGATAGATTATGATTCGTTTTCTTATTATGTGAACCATCACAACCGAAACCATAGCACCTCGGGTCAGGAGCTTTTCTTATTATTTACTCCACGGAGTATGATTTTAAAAGTTAAATTGAAAATTTGTGGTTTTGGCTTCTCTGTAAAGTTTCTTTTTTTGTTTGAAAGATCCATTCGATGGGACTTTTAACGGCCAAGGTAAGCTAACTTGCATTCTCAGGCACCCAAATTTTACTAGATTTCTAGAAAGAATTGCATTAATGATTTACTACTTTCTTTTTTCACTCATCCCCATATCATTTTTTAAGGCGTTTCTTTTAATGCTTTCCATACCTGCACTTTTTTTTTCCTCTACTGTATTATTTTATTCACGGCATCTTTTGTAGAAAATCAATATTTTCATCTGGTCCCCTACCCTACGGAAAGAGTATTAAAAAGAGTTGTTTTTGTTTTGTTTTCAATTGAAAAATATTTAATGGGCACCAATACAATTTTTTTTCTTTAATCTGTCCTTGAGTATCCTTTCACTGCTCAGGTGATTCACGAGCTTCTGTAGTTGTACTTATTCATTAAAAACAGCATCGGGTCAGACCTGATTTTTTTGTTATTAGCTCATTTACATCTATGAAAAATGATTAAGAGTATATTCTGTTTATGTTTTGGAGATTTGATGGGTTTTAATTCATTGTGAAGGGTATTTTTAGCTGTATACCTAAGAACAAATTCTAGATTTATGGGAATATTGACTCTTTTTTGTTCTTTTGTATTTTCTGTAATGTGTCCTTTCCATGGGGTCATACTACCCAAAAACTGTGAATATCCCATTCCGTATTTTCTAACATCTTGAGAAACATTCATCCCTACTGCTCTTTTACCCAGTGATGAGTACCTGGATAAAGCAGAAGTGATGACGTGACATGAAACCGTTATTTCTTCATGTTCCATATGACATGTTACTTTGTACTCCCTCCCTTAATAAACTTCAGATTTGTGCTAACTATGAGTGGAATTATTTTTAATTTAGTTCATTCAAATGTCTCTGTAAATTTAAAATTTAAATTTACGCATTTAGGAATTACATCAAACGTTTTATAAAACAAATGATAACAAGACTATTTTATTATAACAAATGATTAAAATAATTAAGTAAGAAGATGATATAGTTTGATTATGTGAAAAATGAATAGTGATGGTGAAGTTTATTTATGGAGGGATGGAGTATTCATTATTGCAAAAGAAATCAAATGTGACAACAGTTAGCTTTAATTAGATCACATGGCTGTGTTAATCTCTTACGCACATTTGCTTTTTCAGATGATTGATTACTATTATTATTATTACGGAGTATTATTATAATTATTATAATAATCATATAAGGAGATGGTGATGGTTGACTAAGATATGCCTTTTTGTGTATAATAAAGGAGCACTAGAGAAAGCACACCCTGTAGCTTAATAAGGGAGGCAGACATAATCAAGACACCACCCAGCTCAACAACAAGACAGAGCAACCCAAACACCACATCTCAAAGGGTGAGAAGTTCCCTTCAGAGGAACATGCCTTCAGCAGCCGAAATTGATGAGTTCTTTGCTTACTCAGAGCAGCAGCAACAGCGCCATTTTGCCGACAAGTATGTTTTCCCCCTTCTTTCTAATTAACACTATGTTTGGTTCAACGAATTTGAAGGGTAAAGTAAAATGCTTCTCTCATTTCCTCATCAAAATGGAAGGAATTTGGTTTTTGTACCTCTTGGTACATTTTGCCTTTTCGTTTTCTTTTCCTTCCACTTTTCCTCTCTAACCAAGCAAGAAAAAATGTTTTCTTTTCCTTTTCAAATTACTTAAACCAAACATAGTGCAAACGTTTCAAGATTAGTTAGAAGCTCAAGTTCTAATCGGCATTGATTTCCCATTGTCGCATTCGACACTCTTCCTCTTCTTCTTCTTGTTCTCTACAGATACAACTTTGATGTTGTGAGGGATTTGCCACTGCCGGGGCGATATGACTGGGTGAGAGTGAACCAATAATAAGCCGAGGAAGCAGCCCGCAGCAGAGTGAAGAAACCAAAGGAAAGGGGGGAAGTGGTGTGTGGCTCAAACTCTCATTTGAGTTATAGACCAAAAAGTTAGTGTAGAAGGAGACTAGAAATGTGTGATTTATTAATCATCTGTAAAGTAACAGGGCTGATAAAATTACACATAACACACACACACACACTAACCATCCATCTGTGGAAGCATATTAGTCGAGTCGTCATTTATCATGACAGACATAAACTATGTAGGATTTTCATTTTCTTGTAACAGCATATTAACGTTTCTTCATAATTCTGCAATGGGAATAATATTGAGTATTTGCGTACCCTTTTTATTTTTTGGAGCGAGGACCGAAGATGTAATTAAATTCAGAAATGGAATCAGTGGGAAGACCGACCACTCTCCTGTCCTCAGCCTAGACAGAGTCCACATGTTCACGTGAAGTTTGCGGTCACCAATGATATTGCCCAAACTATAATTACCCAAGTACTTGGTATTTATATGGTTCTTTTTACCCAAACAAAAAATGACCTGGAGCAACCCAGATATTTTTGGACACTTACGATCTACAATGTTCTGTTGGTAAAATTAATGGTTCATATCTTCTCACTCTTTCCAAAAAACCTCTCTCAGATATTCCAAAATACCTCTATCCGCCTAGAACGCCGATTAGGGGGAGGGGCGAGGGGTGGGAGAGTAGTAACCGTTTATTTTACCAATGGAGTACCACAAGTGTCCCTCCCTGGTGATTTTAAAATCAAATAACTTGGATCAATAGAACTCTAGTGATATTAATAATACAAAGACTTGGGCAAATAATCATAACTTAGGGCCTATTTAGAAATAGTGTTAGAGATTAGTATCAGCATTTTGGATAAAATGTTAATAATGCAGATTACTTTGAAATCACTAACGCTAAACGCTCCATGTAGATAGCCTTTTCAAAATGCTAACGCTAATCTCTAACGCTATTCCTAAACAAATTCTTACTAAGTAGTGTATTTGAGTTAAGCTAGGGTCATCCTTGGGGTGACTCGAAATTTTACTCCACTCTACTGATATTACAAACATTGAACAAGAAGAGCTAAGTGGTGCTCTTTCTTAGTTACAACATTTGTTTAGTGAGAATGCCCCGACCAGCGGCTGCTAGGTTAACCAATCTTCCCCCGGTCTTCGGCTCGAGCTGTATGAGGCAAAAACTTGTCCCACTTACGGTTCGGAGGCTGAGCCCCACCCCAGCAGTAAGGATGCGGTTTAGGCCAACTAACATAAAAAAGATACAGTTTACTCAACGGAATTTTTTTTAAAAAAGTGGGTCAAGCTAGGGTTATTATTGAAGTGATTTTAGCATTGTCTTGTGTATTTTTTTGTCACATGATAATTGTTTCACTTTTTCTTTTGCCCATTTAGAAAAAATGTACAGAGTAACATTCTTTTTAAAGAAAAGATTAAAAGAATGTGGTTTCAGAATTTTTTTCTTCTCTCCATAAATTCAATCACATCCCTTTTACTCCGCAATTTTTAACCATTTTTTTTAAATTCCGTTATAATCGAAGTGGGGTAAATTTTGTGGGAGAGAGGGGGAGAGTCACTTTGCAACTTCCTTCTGCTGAAGTAAGTTGCAATGCTAAATACTCCCTTCGTTCCTAAATAGATTACAAATTGCGGGTGACGAAGTAAAATATTTCTTTTTGGAATAATTTTATTTACAAATCGGTATATCAATAACATATAAAAATTACATATTAAAAAACTACATCAAAAGTTCTACAAAACAAGATGTCACAAGAATATTTTATTTTATCAAATACTTAATGAAATTGCGTAAACAAATAAAAATTATCGAGAGAAGAGAGAAAAAAATTATAATGTATTTAGGAATGGAGGGAATAGATTCTTTTTTGTAATTTTGTTATGAGTAAATTCCAGAATTGGTCCTTTATAATAGGGGGGTTTCCATATTTAGTCCTCTATTATCAAATATTATTCCCTTAGTCCTTCTTTTATGGGTGCCTTTCCACAAATGGTCTTTTTTTTAATCTTCTGCCATGTTGGTGTTAATTTAAATACTAAAAGTATAATTTGGCTTCAACTTTATGTCCAATGATGTATTCTGATATTGGTTAGACGAGTAACACAAAAATAATGACTATGACTTTGAGCTAGGATTCCGACGAAAGACCACATCTGTACACTATGGTTGTAGTTGAAAGTGACTGTAATTACAAACAATGCATCAGAAGCGGCCTTTGGAATTGTATATGAAAAGAAAGATATATTATCATTGTAAAATTACATGTTTAGCCCTCAAATTAACATCAACATGATAGAAGGTCAAAAAAGAACTATTTGTGGAAAGATAGCTATAAAAGAAAGACCACCGGGGTAATATTTGATAATAGAGGACTAAATAGGGAAACCTCCCAGTTATAAAAGACCAAATATGAAATTTACTCTATAAAAAAAGAGTGAATAAATTTGGGTTGGGGGGGGGCTGTTTGTTGTCAGAAACAACTATGAATCGAAGTGCTCACTTTGAATGTCCTTTTTAATTGTGATGAAGCTTCTCTTCTCATCTCTCTTCTTTTCACTTCTCTTCTCTTTCTCTCCATATGGGGTGGGGTGGGGTGGGGTGGGGTGGGGGAGGGTTTGGATTGAACATGTGAAAAGGCGAGGCAGTAATTTATGAAGTCGTACTTCCCGCACACTGTACTCAGTACTGTATTTATTCTCGCCCGTGAGAGTCGTGTATCTAGGCTGCGCAATGGCTCCACACATAAAAATTTGGGATAAAGCTATTTGTACCCCAAGCTTTGTACTCCATTTGTACACCACAGGTTTGCACCGATATTTTGTGTTAGTATAAAACTAATTTTTGTTAACATACCAATATTTTGTGTCCGTGTAAATTTTTGTTAACGCACCCACACTTGTGTCGGTGTAAACCATCAAAATATTTGTGTATAACTGCGGTGTACAAATGAGGTGCAATTTTTGGTGTAAATGTAGCATGGTCCTAAAATTTGTCCTCCAATTAAGCTATTTGTACAACAAAATTGTAGTATTAGATTTTATAACCTGAAGACACGAACAACATTTTGTGTTAGTATAATGTTAGTGCTATGATTTACACAGACACAAAATGTTATTGTAATTTTTTTTATTGAACTAAGATTTTGTATCAGTGTAAAACGTTAAAATGTCAGTGCATATTTTTGGGGTACAACTTAGAGTACACTTTTTGGCGTATCCCTAGTATGATTGTTTGTCCTCACTGATGCACTTAAACATTAACATTGTTCAATGCTTTTTATGCCAAAATAGATTAGATCTAGTAGGTTTGTGGTTGGTTTGACTCTCTCAATTCCAATTTTGGCTTTAGGCGCGTTGTTGAGGATTTTAGTATCATCAGATTATTTTATGTTAATTAAATTTACTTAGTGACCGTACATTAAATAATAGTAAGTATTGAAACGAATTATTAGGAGGTATAGAGTACACGCTTGCTCAATTGGCTTTGGGTGCATTGTTGAGGATTTTAGTATCATCAAATTATTTTTGGTTAATTAAATTTACTTAGTGACCGTACATTAAATAATCGGTTAGGTTCCGTGGCCACTGGATTTCAGTGGCCACGAAAGCCACTGTCCCCCCTACAATGCTCCATTCTTAAAATTGATGATTCGTTCCTCTTCTAACCCTCCTAGTAAACACCCCTGCTCAGTCCCAATCCAAACTCATCGCTCCACCTACGTCAATTGCAACCCGCAAGTATAGTTAACTTTAAAGTACTCCCTCCATCCTAAAATTAACTTCCCAGTTTGACTTTTATAGTCAAACTTTTTAAACTTTGACCGTTTATTACGGAAAATATACATTGAATTTTCATATAAATTTATTAGCAATAGATTCATTTTGAAACATATTTTTGAAATATGTAATTTTTATAAAATATATTTATATAAAAATTGAGATATCGATGGTCAAAGTGTCGCATTGAAAACCGTGAAAAGTCAAATGAGAAGTTAATTTTCAGACGAAGGGAGTATAAAATTTTGACCTCAAAGTCAACTAAAATTACAGGATGCAATTGACGTAGGCGGGGGGATGTGTTGAGGTCGGGACTGGGCAAGGGGGTTTACCGAGGGGTTAGGAGGGGTAGAAATCATCAATTTTACGAACACGGCATCGTAAGTGTCTAAATCGGGACAGTTGCTTCCGTGGCAACTGAAACCCAGTGGACACGGAACTGGGCCGAAATAATAGTAATTATTGAAACAAATTATTAGGAGGTATAAAATACACGCTTGTTCAATTATATTGTTATTTGGAATAAACATTGACTTATTCAAATAGGCATTTGCTTATCCAAATAGGTTAGTGTGAATTTTGAAGACCTATTCAAATAGGTTTTTACCTATTAGAATAGGTCAGAAGATTATATGCTAACATATTGGAATAGGTGTTCACCTATTACAATAAGTCAGGACTTGATATGCTGACCTATTTGAATAGGTGCTAACCTATTCGAATAGGTCAATGAAGAGATGCATATGATCCTTCAAAAACAGATTTCTATTCGAATAGGAAGTACACTTTTCAAATAGGTACTGAACAGACATAATTTTTTAGTTCAAAATACAAGTTTGATTAGTGTTTTGCCTATAAATAGCCATGCGTATGGCCTATTTCAGTATAACAAGCAAGAATAAGTTCAAGTGACTATTGTCTTCTTCTAGAAAACCTTCATACTCGTTCTTTAACGTTTACGTCTTATCCGATTAAAGTATTTTGGTTTGCAAAAACAACTTTATTCTGAAAGTGATTCTTTCACGATTCATAAGCCTATTAATTACCTCATTTGTTGTACAAACCTACACCGATCCTCCAACAAAGACTAAATTTATATTTCCATAAACAACACAAAGATGAAGGGTGGCAAATCTGTGAGAGATCTTACAAGTAAGTTCTCAAAACAAGAAAAGTTCGAAGGTCAGGACTTCCGTCGTTGGAAAAAAAGATGCACTTCCTTCTCACCACGTTGAAGGTTGTACACGTGTTGGGCACACTGATGCCTGAGATCATGGAAAAAGAAACGTTGAAACAAACTAGGAAACGATGCAAGTGGGAGAGTGATGACTTTATCTGTCGTGGTCATATTCTCAATGGTATGTCTCATTCGCTCTTTGTTATTTACCAAAATATTGAATCTGCAAAATTGCTAAGGGATGGTCTTGAAGAGAAATATATGGTTGAGGATGCTTCAAGCAAGAAGTTCCTTGTTAGTAATTTTAACAATTACAAAATGGTCGATTCACAATTGGTCATGGAACACTACAATGACTTGTTGAGGATCCTAGGTTAATATGCTGAGCATAAACTGCACCACGATGAGTCCATCTCAGTGTCAAGCATCATAGACAAGTTTCCGAATTCAGGGAAAAAATGTAGGCGCACCTTGAAACATGACAAAGCGGACATGACTTTGATACAACTCGGTAGTCATTTTAGGATTGAGGATCCCATCTGAAGTCTTGAAGGCGACAAGACTAAGAACATTGTCGGTCCCTCAATTTTGAACATGGTTGAAGATGGAGGGGTCACCAAAGAACACACCAAGTCTGAAGGCAAGAAACAAAAATCAAGAAACACACCCATATTTGCTAACAAGAAGGCAAAAATGGGTTGTTAGAAGTGTGGGAAATCAGGACACTTCAAACAAGATTGCCAGATAAGCAAACAAAACGATGATACAAGCAAACATATACATATAATTTGGGAGAAGGAACCAAGGACTAAAACTGTGAAGAATGATGATATATTTGGTGAATTGACTTAGGGGCAACATGTCACGTGTGCAAGGATAAAAGATGGTTTAGTTTGCTAGAGCCAATGGACAATGAATCATTGTTGTGAATGGGAAACATAGCCACCGAACCTATCAAAGGACTTGGAAATAGTTAAACTTGTATTTACTTCTGGAAAAAGTGTTACCTTAAATAATGTATTTTATATATATATATATATATATATATACACACACACACACACACCAAGGATTTGAAAGAATCTCTTATCTGAGATTGTGATCAACAATAATGGCTATAAACAAGTATTTGAAAGTAATAAATATGGTCTATCATGACATGGAGCTTTTGTTGGATTTGTTTACTTATGTAATGACATGTTTAAATTAAATTTGAATGTTCTTTTTTGCATAAGTGAAGTTTGTATGACTACCAATTTGAACGCTGGTGGTAAACCTGACTTCGAAATTCATATCTTTCTGGAAAACTTGTTACAGAAAGTAGCCAATGCCCCAATGTTTCAACCGCCACCACCACCGCCACCGCGTGTGATCACTCTCAAAACTCTGAAAGATAATGATGCCAAAGAATTTTTAGGAGATCGCATCTCTGAACCCAAATTGCTTGGGACTGGATCGAGCAGACCGATCGAGTATTGAGAGGTCTAAACGTACCCCTCAATGATTACCCGAGGCTTGCAGACCAACTAGTTTGTAAGGAAGCTTATGAATGGCAGAAACGAACTGACGAGAACGAAGAGCCGCCAAAACCTTGGAATTGGGCATTCAAAAAGGAGTACATTACTGCACATTTCCGTGAAGAGAAACGTACAGAATTCGTTGAATTGCGACAGGGGATATTACGCTCCCTGAATACCGCCAAAAATTTATCCACCTTGCCAAGTTCGCACCAACCTTTGTAGGTACCATGGCTGATTGCATCAAGGAGTTTAGGTCAAAACTCCGACTTGATCTCAGGGCTCAAGTATCCATTATCCATACGATAGATTTCACTGCAACCTACAATCTGATTGCCAAGGCGGATAAGGATTGGAGCGCCTACAAGGAGTACTTGAAGAAGGAAGAAGTTGGCTCGAATGTTCGTCGACCCGTGAGTACTGCCCCTAGTGGAAAAATACTTTTTCAAGGACCTAGCAACTCGCAACACTCAAAAAAAGGGAAATCTGTGCAAACCCAACCAGTAGCATCTGTTGACAGACCAAGGAAGTGGAAGCACCCGATATGTGAACTATATGGAAGGAACCATCCTGGAGAGTGCTGACTTAAGGAGGGTTTGTGTCCAGGTTGCCAAAAGCCGTACACTTCCGAAGGGAATGTCCCACAAATCTTAGAGAACCATTTCCACTTGCCCCTGTCTCTAGTCACACAGCATCAACACGTTCCGCTCCTAGTCAACGCTCAAGTCTCAACAACAAGATCTAATCATACTAAGAACCAGAACCATAACCAAAAATAAGGAAAAGCCCCTTCCTGAACTTATGCAATGAAAGGACAGGCTTAGGAAAACTCTGATGTCATTCAGGGGATGTTTTCCTTATTTGATAGTGTCATGCATGTGTTGATAGACCCTAGATCGACAATATCTTATATCTGTGTAAGTATGTCTCACAAAGAGAATATTTCGAAAGAAAAACTAGAACACCCTATACTAGTGTCTAATCCATTAAGACACAGTATGAAGTTACAACATGTGTATCAAAACTGTCCATTGACTGTTGAAAAACAACAATTCTCTACAAATCTTATTGAATTACCATACAAGGAGTTTGATATTATCCTTGGTATAGATTGGTTGACTGAACATCAAGCTATTATTGATTGTGCTCAACGAACCCTCCAATTGAAAACCAAAAATGGAAACTCTATAGAGGTGAAAGAAAAGCTAATACCTAAACTCATAGAATTTATCTCGTACATACACACTAGGCATCTCATCCGCAAAAAAGTGAAGCTTATCCGTGTAATGTACGTGACACACGAAAATAAATCCTTGAGTTGAATGATATACCGACGGTATACAACTTTCCCGATATATCTCCTGACGAACTTCCTAGTATACCATCTTCCAGAGAAGTATAATTTTCCATCGATCTTGTTCTTGGAACAGAAACAATATCTGCAACTCCTATTGAATGGCCCCTGCTAAGATGAAAGAGTTGAAGGCTCAAATACAAGAATTGCTTGATAAGGGATTCATCTAACCAAGTGCTTCTCCTTGGGGAGCACTTGTTCAGTTTGTACGAAACAAAGACGGCTCGATGAGTCCCTACATCGATTAGCGACAATTAAACAAAGTGACGATCAAGAATCGTTATCCATTATCATGGATTGACGATTTGTTTGACCAATTATGAGAAGCAACCATGTTTTCTAAAATTGACCTTCATTCAGGATATCACCAAATACCTGTCAAAAAGGGAGACATCCCGAAGACTGCATTTCGTACTCGATATGGGCACTACGAGTTCACGATAATGCCATTTGGATTGACAAACGCGCCTGCAATATTCATTGATCTCATAAATAGCATGTTCCAACCATATTTGGATCAATTTGTAGTTGTGTTCATCGATGATATTCTGGTGTACTCAAAGAATAATGAAAACCATGCGAGACATCTAGAAATAATACTTCATGTACTTCGTCAACACTATCTTTACGTAAAGTTGTCTAAATGCGAATTCTGGCTCAACGAAGTCACATTTCTAGGTCATGTGATTTCGAAAGAAGGTATCAAAGTGGATGCCAGCAAAATATATGCCATTACAGAATGGAAGGTTTCGAGTAATGTTTGTGAAGTGATAAGTTTTATGGGATTAGCTGGATACTATGGACGTTTTGTTGAAGACTTTTCCTCGATTGCAACTCCACTAAAAAAAACTTCTGAGGAAAAATGTCAAATTTGAGTGGACTGATCCATGCCAACGTAGTTTTGAACACTTGAAGAAATGTGTGACAGAAGCACTTGTACTAGTGCAATGAGTACCAGGTGTGGACTACACAATCTTCTGTGACGCATCTCATAATGGCTTGGGATGTGTGCTTATGCAAAAAGGCAAGGTAGTAGCCTACGCATCAAGAAAATTAAAACCACATGTGTGTAACTACCCCAACCATGATCTTAAGTTAACAGCAGTCGTATTTGCTCTGAAGATATGGCGTCATTATCTCTTTGGAGAAATGATATATATTCACACAAACCATAAAAGTTTGAAGTACATGTTGACTCAGAAAGAGTTGAAGCAGAGGCAAAGAAGATGTCTTGAATTAATCTAGGACTATGACTATTACATTAACTACCATCTTGGTAAGGCTAACAGAGTAGCCGATGCGTTAAGTCGAATGTTGGTAGCCAAACTTCGAGTCCAACCAACTCTTGTGAATGAAATCCATGATGCACAAAAACGTGATTAATACTGTCTGAAGACGTGCGAGCTTGTCTCTATGGAGGAGAGACAAGACTTCACTATTTAGGAGTTTTGTTCTACAGGAATCGTTTGGTAGTTCCTAGTGGTGAAGTTATAGAACGTGAATCTCACGAAACCATGTATACCATGCATCTCAATAGTAATTAAATGTTCCAAGATCTGAAGAAGACATATTGGTGGTCCACGATGAAGCGGGAAATTTTAAAATTTACTACCCAATGTCTGACGTGTCAACAAGTCAAAACTGAATATCAAGTGTGGAGTGGATTGTTGCATCTGCCTATAATTCTTGAATGAAAGTGGGAACGAATTATGATGGACTTTGTGATTGGACTTCCTTTGCCAGACAAGAAGAATGATGTTGTTTGGGTATCATTGACCGTTTAACCAAGTCAGCTCATTTCATACCCATCCGATGAGACACGTCATTGAAAAGATTAGATGAATTGTATATCCGTGAGATCGTAAGATTACATGTTGTAACTTTATCAATAATTTCTAATCGTGATCCTCGTTTTACATCACAATTCTAGAAAAGTCTGCAAAAAGGCGTTAGGTACAAAACTTAATTTTAGTACGACATTTCACCCTTAGACAGATGGACAAACAGAAAGAATGATTCAAATTTTGGAAGATATGATGAGAGCATGTGTAATCAATTTTGGAAACAACTAGGAAGAATATCTACCATTAATGAAGTTTGCTTATAACAACAGTTATCCAGGGAGTATCCAAATGGCCTCGTACAAAGCCCTATATGGGAGACGATGTAGAACCCCAATATGTTGGACCGAATTGAGCGAGAAAAAGCTTGAAGGACCTGATCTTGTCCGAGAAACTGAAGAAAAGGTTTGTCTTATCAGAGAGAGATGTCTTATCCGAGAAACTGCAAGTGCCTTCTAATCAACAGAAATCTAATAATGACTTGAGATGTCGTGAGATCAATGCAACGTAGATGACATGGTGTTTCTGAAAGTTTCACCATGGAAAAATGTGTTACCATTTGGTAGGAAGGGAAAACTAAGTCCAAGGTAATATTAGACCCTATTGAATCATTGAACGTGTGGGTCTAGTAGCCTATCGGTTGGAACTTCCGCCAGAATTAAACAAAACCCACGATGTATTCCATGTGTCAATGCTAAAACATTATTGTTCAGTTCCATCACATATCCTAACCGATGGAACCGTAACCCTTGACGAACGTTTGACCAATGAAGAAGAATTCGTCTAAATTATGGCACGTGAAATCAAAAAACTGAGAACAAATCTATCCCTCTAGTCAAAGTACTATGGAGGAATCATTCCATTGAAGAAGCAACTTGGGAAACAGAAGGGTCAATGAGGACACAATATCTGAAGGGTCAATGAGGGCACAATATCTGAAGGAATCATTCCATTGAAGAAGCAACTTGGGAAACAGAAGGGTCAATGAGGAGAAAATATCTTAAGGAGGAGAGAAATGTAACGCCTCGAAAAGGGCCTATCAAAATTAATTAATTGATAATTAATTAATTATTAAGAAGGACCCAAAAATATGTGATTTATAAAGTTTGTCAATGAATTCTGAAAATAATGTCGTTGTGTAGAGTATGAATGTCTGACCACAAGGATTCAATCAGATCTTAATTCGGAGAAAGTTGGACCGAAAAGTGTGCCCCGACTGAGACCAAATTAGTCCCAATCAGGGGAAGACGTGTTAATCTTCAAACAACACTTTCACCCACTCAGCCGAACGCACGAGGAAAGGAAGCAATGTAAACTTGGCTTTTTCCCCTCACCTCTCCTATATAAGGAGTACCCAACTCCTTCTATTCTTCAATATTTTTAACAATTCTTCCTTCTATTATGTTACTCTGAGTGTGGAGAACGCAGTGGTACTGTCAATTTAGTAAGAGGTCATCGGAGTAAGGCACAATCCTCACCAGAAGTTTCGTCGAAAATTCTCAAAATCTTCATTTAAGCCCGAGGTAAGCCCTTAGATATATTTAGTGATTAGAATGTTTGTATAGATTGTTTCTATGTTCATAAAAAATCATTTGGTTAAGTTTTGTGTTTGACATGCTTGAAAAACAAATAAACATAAAATTTCAAATTATTGTTAAAATTACGAACTAATGATACCAAAATGATCTATGAGCTTAGGGGAACATTTCTATATAGTTTAATTGAATTTTGATGATTAAAAATGAAAGTTTTAAAAATGGACCCGAGGTTGAAGATGACATTTTTAAAACTACGCGCAGAACGGTAACGAGCTACTGCTAGGAAGGTACCTTAGTACCACCGGCACGGTAGGACGTACTGTCGGAACGGTAGGCCATCTACCGTCTCCACCGTGAAATACCTCCTTCTTTGGCGGTATCTGATTCCAGCCGGTACCCCGTACCCTCTGGACGGTAACGAGGTACCGCGAAGGCTACCGTCTGATCCGGAATTTTTCCAGAAACCTGATATTTGAACTATTAAATCATATTTTTGATATCCTTCAATTATAATAAATATGAAAATGATTTCTGTAAATAAATATCATTTTTGGATAAACCCAAAAATCTTGTGTGATGCATGACAGTAAGCCATGGTGTTAACACTCGATGTTAGGCCGCTAATTGTTATTGAATAATATGATGAATATTATTGATTGTTGATCATGAACCTTGATGAATATCATATTTAAAATAATGGTTATGAATTATTGAATTATGATTCAAAATGAATAGATTGATGAATAATAGAGTAATGTGTATTGTTAATGCTATCTAGAAGATCTCTAAGATAGATTTCAGATTAGAATGGGCCTTGCAGGTAGAAATATGTATATTCAGTGGCTTGGGTAAAAATGTACGTACGGGATCCAAAAACCAAACTAGAGGATCACTCGTTTGGGGATACCACCCAACTCGATGGTGAGCAGTCCAATTATCAGTTTCTTGTGTACCTTGAGCTAAGACTAGTTTAAGATCAGTTGGAAAATATTTTTGAAAATTGTTCCCTAAAAATAAATTAGCTTAAGAGTTGGTTAGTAGTACCTTAAACTAGAATATGGTTTAAGAGTTGGTTAGTACCATAAACTAAGAATAGTTTAAGAGTTGGTTAAAATAATTTGGCCTTAGATTAAGAATAATTTAAGAGAAATACTAATGATATGAATATTGAACACTTGAACTGAATATTATGTGTGTGATATCAAATGATTTGATTATGAATTGATATTCAATTTATATGGATGTTCGATGCATTAGATATCCTTACTCAGCTTCACCGCTGAGCGTGTAGTATGTTTTATTTGTTACACGCAAGAAAATAGAAGGAATGATGTGAGGTGTTCCTGGCGGCAGATGGGGCAAGGTTGTCAGAATGGATGTGTCGATTTGAATTATGATTTCCAAAAACATAAAATAATTATTTGTGATTTTCAGGTGATATCTTTTATTACGCTTTCGCAATATTGAACACTCCGTATTATTATTATTATTATGAAAATTATTTATGATAAATAAAGTGTTTGAAATGTTTTAAATTTTTTTTATTACCAAGTTTATACTAACAAAAGTTTATAAATAGATTAGGTTGTTACAAATTCTAACAAAAGTTTGTTGACCTAGAAAAGTGATGGTAAAGCTGGGCATGCAGCTCCAAGAGAGAGGAAACATGTTTTTCTTCCTAGGTATTCAATTATATATTCCACTAAGGCACTAACTTTTTTAATTTAAAGATCTTTTAAATGAAAAAACAATTAATAAAGTAATTAATTCCATACCATGAATTATAACACGTGATAATTGTGCTAAATGATATTAAAAAGTTTTTGTAGTTAATTGTCATATGTTGATTTCAACTCTGATTTCGTGTCCCAAATAGAGCCTAAAATGATTTTCGTTAAGCATGTCATTTATTATATCATTCGTTTAAGTTTTTGTATCAATATTGGATTTTGTTTGATTTCTTAACAGTTACATTGAAGAAATATTACAGAGTAAAAATGCTAGTTAAAAATGCCATCTCTTGCATGGCACGGGTTAAAATGCCAGTTATATATAAATTTCAAACTTTAAACCGTAAGGAATTGATACGTGGCATTTCTAGGAGCTGACATGTGACATTACTAGGAGCTGACATGTAGCATTACTAGGAGCTGGCATGTGTCTTTGCTTATGTGGCATTTTTATGCCACCCAATTTATAATTGAATAAAAAGAAAAGAAAATCATTTTTATGTTGAATTTTCTAACACCTAATATGTCACATAATTTTTTATATGGAAAATATAAAATTATAAGCTTCGTAAGAAATATTTGAGTATATTTAATTGTGGGAAAAATTCTTCCTTTTTATAATAATATTCTTTCCAAATTCTATATTTTTTCTTTACATTTATAAAAAAAATTGAATAATAAATAAAATACCCTCTTTACCTATAAATAAATTTTATATTTATTTATTATACCTTTACATGAAATTAAATTGATTATATTTATCTAAATATTGACACCTAGTAAATAAAATTCATTCCTCACATATAAATACATTTTATATTTATTTTGACACCTAATTATCTAATGTGGAACTTAATTTAATATATAGAAAATTTGAAATCAATCTTTTGGTATGAAATTCTAGAATAAATTTAAGCATGGAAAAGAAATATTTGTTTTAATGATATTATCATTTCTATCATTTTCCCTCATGCTAAATGAGAGAATAAAATCTTATTGGGCTTGCTCGGGAATAATGTTAGATGTTAGTGTTTTAAAAATGCTATCTATGGACATCGTTTAGCGTTAGCGTTTTTAAAGTTAATCTGCACTGCTAAAATTTTATCCGAAATGCTAACACTAACCAGAATAGCTATTCCCAACCGAGCCCATTATCTTCATCTGATATGTTTGGATCTGGTCTTATTTTATGAAAATCTGATATAATCTGATTTGATATTTTGATTAGAATAAGTTAAAAAAAATAATTGAAGAGAACATGCTCTAAGTATATCGTGAATTACAGTATTGCTGATGGAAAATCATTTTATCCCTTATATAATTAGGGTTGTAAACAAATCAAATACTTTAAATTTGATTCATGATTTGTATTTACATATAATGATTCAAATTCGCATAATACAAATTCAAATTCAAATACTAGTCTTGATTCGAATGCAGAGTATTAAATAAATACAAATATAAGTAGAGGCATATTTGATTCGAATGATATTCGAATATTCAAATATATATACACATAGGCCATGTTTTAAAAATCAATAGTCATGAAAACTCATATAATATTACTACATTTAAATCACTAAGATTTCGTCAAATTAACGTAACGCAAAAATCTAAAGGATATGATTTGATATTTATGTTTTATAACATATAATTTGTGCAAGATGCAAATGTATTAATTTTTTTAAATATATTATAAGAAATATTGCAAGTTAAATTATTCAAACCAATGTTGGTCCATCATATAAATTACGGAGCATGATTATTCGAATATTCCTTTAGGATTCGTTAAGTATTCGAATATTAATCAAATACAAATCTTATTTTTAATTCGTTTCATTTTTAGATCCAAATTCATATTCGAAATACTAAACAAATACAAATTCAAATATTTCGTTATGCGCTTCGATTCAGTTCGTTTACAACCCTATATATAATCCAGTGTCTACCTGACCTCCTCACTCTAGCATATTTGAACCTTACATTCCAATTTGGTCAACCTTACTCATTTAATGGGCTCTAATCTCTTTACTCATTTTTGTGATTTTTAGTGATGTGTGCTTAATTGAGTCATGCTAAGAGCTCTGGAAATACCCGTGAAGCCCCGGGGCTTCAAACCGGGGCTTCAAAATTTCTCTCTCTGTCACGTTTGCTTTAACTTACCTCACAGATTCACTGAAAATGGGTTTGAAGCCCCAGCGCTTCAAACTGGGGTTTCAAACAATTTTTTAAAATTTTTAATGCACATTTTTTTCAAATTAATGAATAAAATGTAATTAATTATTTAAATATAAACAACAATAATTCATAAAATAGCAAAATTACATTCAATAAAAAAAATTGCATTCAATATAAACATTAAATTAAAAAAATTACATTAATTGAAAAACTAAAGCAAATTACATTAAATTTTGATCTCGTTTTGTTTTCTCTCGTAATACATACGTTTGGAACCGACGGCGTGCACTTTTTTTTGTTCCGGTTGGTGCACTTGGTTCCTGTTGAGTCTCCAAAATCGACTCTAGGTCCTCGAGGTTCACCGAGGTTTGCATTTTGAACAACGACGGATTATTCCCGTAGGTCCAATAGAGCCACATCTTGTAATTTTAATAAACAAAATTGACAAATGTTTAAGTCAAACATCTTCAAAGAGCTAATTGAAGAAAATCAAGTTTATGGTTTAACCCGGTTTAAAGTTCAGCACAACTTCTAGAACACTAAGACAACCTCAGCTCCCATCCTTTTATGATAGTGTTTTTTTGGAATAACCAAAATTCAAAAATTATCTTCGGACGTATTTCCAAATTTCCGATACAAATTCATGTCATTCGATGATATCAAATTACTGCCTTTGATGGACGACATTTTGTTGATTGGTAATGTATATTATATAATGTTTATATCAAAAAAAATTTATATGTCGGTGATAGACCAAAACCCCCCGGGTGTGTATTTTTTGGTCTATACGATATATGTATAAAATATGGAAAATATATCAACAAAAATATAGACAATAGACTCTTAACGTGGAAACCAAATCGGTGAAAACCACGGGCCTTTTTCGGCGGTACCATGCCAACGGGGATGTTTTATTATATATCAGGGGTATATTTGTACAACATATTGGTGTGATAGCCATTGATGGAGCTCGAAGCTCCATCGAGAAGAAGATGATGAACGGAGAGAATACAATATGTGTGGAATGTAGAGGGTGGCTCCCCCTTCTTCTTGGTTATGTGTCTCTTATATAGCATCAAGGTAGGAGCCTAGGGTTAGGGTTCCCTAGCGGGCTCCTTGCGTGGACCGGCCCAATATCTTTAATCAGGCCCAATGGATATTATCACATC